ATACATAACAAAAACACATATTTATGTATAGCGTCAGAATAGTAATAGTTTGTTCCAGTGCCAAGGCTATAATAACCCTGGCAGAGATAGGGCACGACAAACAAGAAAGGCGGTTCACATTCCGCAATAAAAGACCATTCATCAAGGAGTGAGCACATTACGTTATATTTCAACTCATTGTTACGAGTCTTCCAGCCTGTCGCCGCCAAGTCCTGCGTCGAATTGCTATCGATTTTTCTTTTTTCTGGCTTCACTCCAATGTTTCTTATTCGCTTAATTTATTTGAGTTGACTGGAATCAATACTGAAATATAATATCTTAACCCAGTAAATGATTCGATGTTGAATTGCATTTAGGCTGTTCTAATTTATGAATTGAAAAAACATATCTGAGTTTAAATTCACGTTTAGACGCTTATTAAATTTCTAAGAGATTTGTTTCAAGAGTGTAGAAAAGTATTAAGTAATTACTTTGTAGGAAATAGCTTGTTTAAAAAAGATTACATTATGTTCCGTTCGTCGGTAACAACGTACATAAAATTGGCTATAAAACAAGAAAAATACGTGATACCTTATCAAGGTAAAACGGCGAAACAAAGATGGGAGTAAGTTTTGAAAGGTGCGGTCAAATCATAGCTCTCTTGGGACGATAGTTTCCCCCAAGTTTTCTAATGTATCTCTTCCCTCAATTCTGTGTGCGGTCGCAGTTATAGCGGAAGCGGAAAAAATAAAGTAATTTCTGAAGTTTGAGAACATAAATAGTTTGTAAATCTAAAGTAACTGCAATGCTTAAAAACACATAGAAATATATATTTTTTATGTATGTTAGTTAATAAAAACTAAAATATCAATGGGAATTTGTAAACATTCTATGAGATTATAATTATTAATCCGATATTAAACTTGTTAAAATTAACTGCAATTATTGGTTATATTCAAGTAAAAAACAGTAATGTATTAGTAAGATGAATTAATTATTGTAGTCTAAGAAACAATTTTGGGTGTAAAAAATTTCGTAACTCTTGTTTGCTTATCGCTTGAAGTGCGACCCTACATTTTGTTGTACCTTTTAATACAATTCAAAGTAATGCCGCTATAAAAGTCTGTCCAAGTTTAAGGAGTTCGTACCCTTGGCTTCCATGCATCTTGGTGATTGAAGTATTTTTAATGATATCAGACATTTTATGTCGGATTCGTGCGGACAATGTTCGTTCGGACAATGTCATGTTTCGTTTCTGTTTAGAAACGTACTCATATTATAAATGCAAAAGATGCGAGAGCTTAGATAGTTGGATGTTTATTACAGTTTGTAGCCTAAACGGCTCAACGGATCTCGATAAAATTTGTCATACTGGTAGAGTATAGTCTGGCCTACTTTCTTCTGTTTTTTTTTATCATTTTATTTAGTCGCATGCGAAAGCTAGTATAGAGTATTTTATTAGTAAATATTACTGCACAGAGTTTCCACAGTTTAAGACATGTATAAAAGTATATTCCTATCCTTGTCACTCTCTTTGTGAAAACAGAAAGAACAGAGTTGAGGTAATCAGAGCCCGACAATTCAAAATAATGGATACAAGTTTTACAAGTCACAGTATTTGCAGTTTTGTGACAAGTTTTTAAGACCTAAATAAATTCACACATTTGTGACATGTTAAACTGCCTTGGACCGGGCGCACATCTTTGACTTAACTATCTCACAACTGCTGTGCGATTGTCGGTTGTTTTGGAGCTAATTCAACTATTCAGTTGCACAATTAAAAATCGAGTAGTGTAACCTCCATATAAGCTCATAGGTATCAAAGCGAGACTAAACAATTGTGCGATAATTTCAGGTATTCACGCGCTCTTAATGTGATAAAATCGAATGCCATTGTAAATACAATAATCGTGCTTATAGTATTCTTAGGATAACATCAAATGATGAATGTTTTTCTGTCGTATGTATGGTAGTGTATTCCGAATTCCGTTATACTGGAAGTGATAAATGTATGCAATATCCTCGAAGGGCTCGCGCGGCCTGTCCGTAATTATTGATAAGTTAAATTAAATGTGACTCTAAGTTATTTCTCTTGTATTCATAATAAATTGCATTTAAAAAATATTTAAAAGACAGACTTAGTTATTTATGTACTTTGATGCAAAATCATTTAATAGGCAATTTTTGTTTGTTACGATTGTGGGTAAAAGTCGAATCTTTGCTCTATATCTAATCTTTGGATAGATATGTTTATAAATACCTGTCAAAATAGACTTTGAAATTCACAATATTCATTTCTTTGTTGCTAATATTATAAATAAGAAGGTTTTATTAATAAAAGTATGTTTGGTACTATATCTATAGAACGGCTAAACAGATTATAAGTTTGAATGAAGACATAGGCTACTTTTTAACTCCTCGCAGACGTCGCAAAAGCCACTCATATGTTAAACGACTCGGATCACGTAAAGTGCTTACGTGAATATGCGTTCAAAGTTTATTTGAGAATAAATAACTGTAAACCAACCAGGTAATATAGTTGAAATGAAAACTCAGTAATAAATATTACCTTTCTTTGAATATCTGACTCGCTTTTAGTATTCTTGTTATAAATGTTAAGGAAACGTCTGTATTTATTCGTGTTCTCTTTGACGTTTACAAATACTTGAAGATTTTATTTACAAAAGTATACAGAGTTATCAACATATTTCCTTGAGATGTGCCCGTAATATCTTTCCAGCTTTGTTTTATTATTCCGTATACTTGTTGAGAACGCGTCCACTCTAAAAGTCTCGACAGATTACAATTTTATTAAGCTATTGCAGTTGTGCTTATATTCTCTATGACCTAAGTAAATTATGTTTTGTATCTTTAATAATATTGTACTTATTACCTCCTTATCAGCTAAGTTTAGTCAAGTAAGTATTCGGGTATTACAGCCATTACGCTCACAGCTAAGCTAAATAAAATAAAATAAAATTTAATCTTATCAACACTACAATATAATTAGGAATTAGAAAGAAAAAAAAAACCAAAGTAATTAAATAAGAAATAGAACGTAATTAAGGGACAAACGAAGTATTTAAAATGCGTATTGCAATCCTGAGCGGATTGGGTCTTCGCTCAGCTATAAATGCTGAATGCTGATTGAAGTACCCAGCTCTGATCTTCCACAAGAAAATGGAATGGAAATGTTGTGCGAATATTCAAATCAACTAAATGCTCATTTTATTTGTCCTCATATTCTTAATTTGTTAAAGCGTGCGCACACCTGATACTAAACTCTCCCACAACTGTTTAGTCTTGCTTTGATTCGTATAAGTTCATAAGGAGGTGCGCACACTACTTTTTGACCGACTTCCCAAATGAAGGAGGTACTCAATTCCTCTGTATGTTTTTTTTTAAGTGTTTTACGGCATAACTCCGCCGCTAGTGGACCGATTTTTTAGTTATTTAAATAAACAGTTGAATTAGCTGCGAAACAATAATCGCATAACAGTTGTCCGAAAGTTTAGTCAAAGATGTGCACCCGCTAGTAATTACAGTATTCAGATGTTAGTGAGTAACGGAGACCACTTAAGGACCAGTAAGACTGTGAGTAACGTTACTTATTCATCATGTCTTATACGAATAAACTTCGTGATATCATAAAAGATTTATCTTACGTTTTATAATTTTTACAGCATCCACTTATATTTTCAATTTATTTACTGAGATAACTTTCTCGAGCCTCAGGTGTGGTTATGGCAGTATCATTTGTCGTATCACAAAATTCTTTTGCGGTAAATTTGAGAGTACATCGTGTATTCAAGTGGACGATTCTTTTTACATTTCAAGTCTCAATTTGCAGTATATTCTCTGCTACATTGAGTCTTGTAAAGTATTCCTTAGTCTATACTAAGGGAAGAAAAATCTATATTTCTCAGGGGAGAAATCTATATTTCTCCTAGTACACTAAGAGTGTGCGTACTTTTAATTAAACTATCGCACTGTGCAGTCTCGCGTTGATTCTTACGAGCTTATATGGTGTGCACACTACTCGATTTTTAGTTGTGCAAACAAACAGTTGAATTGACTGCGAAACAATCGACAATCGCACAACAGTTTGCGATAGTTTAGTCAAAGGTGTGTGCCCGCTTTAAATGAGACAGAATCTCCCATAGTGAGAATTATGTAACTGCGTGTTCAGATTCCATATTAAGGGAAGTTGTCTTGATATTTGGAAGTGATGACTTCTATCTATACTTTTATTATAAAGCGTAAACACACACTTCGTTGTTGCCTAAGATGTCAGCAATTACAGCATATTTTTGAATATTTTTTTAATAAAAAGCCCTACACTTACGTCACGCTTTAGTCTATATATTTTCACGCTATTAAACTTAGGGGGTAAATGTTTTGAATAAAAACCCTAATGTGGGAAAGAGACTATTAGTTGCTGCCAACACCTAGGAAGTAAGGTTGCCATGGTTTGTCATCGTCATGTCATTTTGACATTTGCAATTGATAATTTGACACATGTTAGCAAAGAAATTAAATTTTCACAGTTTTATGCGGATGAAGTCGCACGGGAACAGCTATTACATAATACTATCAATGGCCAACTCATGAGGTATCTCGAGGAACATCAACTGATAATTGACGTCAGAACGGTTTCCATCACAGTCCGTTTCCGTTCCGTCCGCTTACCTTGTGACCATCTTGCGTACATCACGTATCGATAGTCGGCAATCCAGGGCAAGGGAGAGAGCCCTGGCGGATTGTTAAAAGAAATATTGAATATAATATGCAATAATTGACTTCATATTTTTCAACAATGAAATTAAAATTAACTTTTATAAAATTGTCGGTTCTTTTAGTTAAATATTTTACGGTATATTGTATAAGGCTAAAATACATATGATCATTAGTTTCAAGTCATTTTTTTGTTGATCGCAAAAGATTCCGTCAGCTTTTGAGGCCGAAACACAGCGTGAAGTAAATATATTTTGTGTTTAACTTAATGTGCCGTTTGTTTTCAGGTAAGCACCGTCTCGACGTATTCGGTTTTTCGATCGCTTTATAAGTAAGTGAATGATTTTTATTACTATTCGGTTTTTATTAACGCCTTAATTTAGATTGTTTATTATTTAATAATCTGAATTATTGAATGAATAGCTGTGGCTCGCGACTTCGCCCGCGTGAAAAAATATAGCCTATGTGAAAGAATTTTTAAGGCCTAGTAGTTTTTGAGTAATTTCAATTCATACAAAAATACAAATCTTCTCCTAGGTTTTTAAAAACTTTCGTATGTATTGTAAGAAAATATTCAAAGCTCACGTACTATAGTGAACGATGACTTGCTTTTATGTTTGTAAATGTTCATATCTAACTGTGAGTTTCTAAACATGTTTATGTATGTTTTAACATGTCATCTCACTCATTCTTTTGTAATAAAAAGAGATAGCAACAATGTGTCTCCATTCAATCGTTCAACACAGTATAAAATGCTTATGAAAAAATTTTAACTCTTTGGTTGTTGGGTTTCTTTTTCATTACCTCGGTTATTAACCGATAAATTGTTATCTGTCCGCAAAAAATGCATTCTACCGGTATCCGTAATAAAGTCATCTCCACACTGGCATGCAGTATGCGGGATTGCAATGTGGTCTTACCAAAAACGGTATCCGTTCAGATTACTGCGGCCTGTGGCTTGAGGCTTCCGCCAACAATATATTTATAGATAAATGTAATAAGATTTGATACTATTTCTTAAGATAAATTAAAACAATATCTGTAAGAGACGGAATTCTGGACTCTATTGAGCATTATGACTATAATTCTAAATAATATTATAGTGGGAAAATTGTCCTAGATATTTGTAAAATCTTATAAATATTGTAAATGCGAAAGTTATTTTTTTTTTAACATAAACCAGCGCTTTACCATAACTCCACCTAACCTAAGTGAAGACGCGGCCGAAGGATAGAGCGCGCTACCTCAATAAGTCCCGATTCACCCTGTTCTTGAAGGCACCTACGTTAATATAGATGTTAGTGTTTGTAGCCTAAACTGGTGCATGGATCTCGATGTAATAGAACACCTAGACCTTCTTTTGTTTTGTTTTTTCTTTAATTTCACGCGAACAGAGTCGTGCGCGAAAGCTACTAATCAAGTTGTGAAAATATTGTAGACATATGTATTCGTTATGGGTTATTTATTAGTCATTCAAATTTCGATAAAAAAAACCGACAACAAAGAATAAAAATACAAACTAACCTATTCAAAATATTCTACAAACCGAACAAATTCTAAAGCCTAGTTGTCAGCGAATTTGTAGTTTATCTCGTCCACTCAGTCGTTCCTTTGTTGTTTCGGTTTGAAATTGTCAGCATTTTATACATTGAAGATATTTTCTATTGGCTTGGAATTTTCTTATTATACCAACATTCCGCGTTTCATGCCAAAAGATTTATCTTTACAAATTACAATCTTACGATAAATTTTACTTAATAATCAAGATAGATTCAGCAAAAATTGAAAATATTGTAAAAGTGAATGTATTTAAACGAGAGATTTTTTCTTTTTTGTGTAACGAGACAAGTCAAGTATATAGACAAAAAAAATAATCTTTGTAGTTTGTAGAGAACATTTTCTGTACCTGAATTTAATGTTACATTATTAGAAAATATTATCTATTACATTTTATTGTCAGCTTTGGGCTAAATGCGTACATAGATTTGTTGTCAATCTATACTATTATAATAAAGCGTAAACACACATTTCTTTGTTGCCTAAGATGTCAGCAATTACAGCATATTTTTGTATAACTCTTCCTTTAATGAAAAGCTCTACACTTCCATTACGCTTTAGGCTATATATTTTGCATTAGGGGTAAATATTTGAAAACCCTAATGCGGGAAAGAAACTATAAGTTGCTGCCAACATCAAAGAATCAAGGTTGCCATGGTTTGACATCATGTCATGTCATTTTGAAATTTGCAATTGATTATTTGGCTAATGTAAACAATGAAATGAAATTTTAATAATTTTATGCGGATGAAGTCGAATGGGAACAGCTAGTGCGATGATAATTTCTTTGTTACCACGGTGAAATCTCCAGTTTCAAACATCGTGAGAGACCAAGTAATTAATCCGTAACTTGTATTAAGTTATATTTTAAATTAATAAAGTAATAATAAGTTTTCAATGTGCTGTTAAAACACTATAATCATGTTTATCAATGCTACAGTATTGTTATAGTGTGACATAGATTTCTCTGCACGTTAACAAGGTACAAAAGCGATATATTCAAATGTATTGGCTTTAGTTCCTCATATCATATATTTTATTGCCCTTAAAGAGGCATTGTACCTCTAACTGGAAGGCAGGTCGCTCGAACTGGACACATAAAATTGAATATCTCTCCTTATAAGCATCGTATCGCATAACATCAATGCGAACAGACAATTTACATTGTAGGTCACGCTTAACTCTTGCTATTATATCTGAGTTAAAGCCTATGCTTATTGTGAAGGAAATCTCATTGTCTTTGACGGACCCTTAGCGCTAACATTACTACTTGAACTATGTTGACACTGTGATTGATTTTTCGATTTATCACATTTCTTTATTCTTGTTATTTTAAAGTTAAAACTATTTTGTTCACAGTTCGTCTTACTTATGCTAGGTTTTCATTTATTTTGTCATACCGAGTGATTCATTAGTGTTAGATTTAACTAAGTTTTAAAAGAGTAAAACTCAAGATATGTATTTCGGGAACACATTTCAAAAAGTTATCGAACCAACAACACTAACGAATGGTTGCTGGGAAACGGGGCATAAGTAAGTCTTAAAGTCTTCCAGTAGGAAGATTATTCTATCTTTAATTAATGTATTTTCATTTTTATTCGCAAGTTTGTGATGTGTTTCTTAACAAGAACGTTAAAAACATATAATTGTAAATGGCGTTGTAACACGTGACAAATAACATATCGATTTGTTATCAATCAACGCAGTATCGATGTACAATTGAACGCGTTTAGACTTCGCAATTGAGTGTCATGAGACTTGAGTGATGCGACTCGATTGATGGTGCATCCGAGACATCGATACACGATCGTGTTTGCATCTTAACGATCGATTGTGTACCAACTTTGTAGCAAGTGAACTTTGTAGTTATTGTTAACAAGTTCAAGTGTACACTCCATTGTACGTAATATGTGGTTCCGCATTATTTGTAATTCCATCTGATTTTAATAAAATATGGAATTAGGGATAACTTTACATCAAATTTAAATGTCTTAAAAAGTAGTTAGACAATCTTAAGTCTATTATTTCGTTTAAAAAGATTCACTTGATGATTCAAGCCATTTTTAAATCTTTAGGATATTTTTAATTTACATTTTCTTCAAGTATAAACGATCTAAGGATCGCAATAATAATCGATAAACCCGATGGTTTAAAAGATCGATCTATTTTTAGCAAAGTGTTTTAAGTTTTAAATGGTATTTGTATATATCTAAGGATCGATTATTGGATTCGGCCGTCACATATAATTTACGAAAACTTATGTATAAATAAGTATTTCTATCGCAAACATATTTAATATACGTGTATTTGTATGTTGTGATATCTATACGCTATACTAGTAAAGTTAATTAGATCCCCGAGTAAGCGTATTAGTTCTAAGACTTAATTTATGGTATTGTCAGCCATTATTTAGTTAATTGGGCTGTTAATGTGCCGTTTAACTGATGTGCGTTGTTCCATTTACAAGGACATTTAACAGTTAAACTATAAATACAGATTAACTGACAGCGTACAATGCTGTGAAATTAGATTATAGGAAAGTTGTGTTGATAGCTACTGAGCTACTGAGCTGGGTAACCGATTTACGATCTGGTACACGATACGATACTTATTCAAGAGATGAACTGATTTTTGACCGACTTTAAAAGATAGGTTCTCAATAGGTCTGTGTATTTTTTTCTGCGTATCTCCGCCCCTGCTGTACATATTTTGAAAGTTACTACTACGTTTTTAGTGTATTTTTTTGTGAATGTTTTGTTTTAAGTGTATTTTGTTTAGAAGTCGTTTTTTTTATTTTTTTATTTAAAATATCTATTTTATTGTGCAAAAAAAGTAGAGGATAAGTGAAACTAGTAAATTTAATTAAAATTGCGTTACTTTGTGCCTGTTTTATAACTTTATCTATCTACCAAAGTTAAAAGTATTGCACATATTGTAAAATTACTTTGTTTAAGAATCAAATTTAAAGCCTTTAATTATTTTAATTTTATAGATGTGTTTGTTATTCATGAGGTTATGTTACATACAGAAATAGTTTTAATTTCCATAGCACAAATGAATTGCTAATGCTTTGCATTTATTAACATAGTTGTTAATAGTGGTTAGTCTTCTTTAATTTATATTAAGGAGCTACATATTTATACTAATTATATTCCTCAGTAAAAATCTAAATTTATTAACCATACTAATATTATAAATGCGTAAGTAGAGATGGATGTTTTGATTACATATCTCCACCGGAGACGGATCTAGCAGCAATGTCCAAACATGTAGAACATAGTAGTGAAAAACACAGACTTCAATTACATTGTTTTTTTAATTCCGCACGGACGAAATCGCGTGCAATAGCTAGTCAAGCAGTTTATTATTATACGAGCTGTTGCTCGCACTTCGTCCGCGTTAAATTGTTATTATGTTACTCACAGATAAATTATCTTTTTAGCGGTGAACTAATTAAAAAAAAAATACAAATCTTAAATCTTTATAATACAAGTATAAATTATCAAGAATGTCACATAACATTGATTGTCGATATCGTAATTGAATTAAAGATATCGATACGCCTAGGTACATCACTATCGCAATATATTTGCGAGAGTGAGAGGGTCGATAAAAGTGATTTATTACGTCAGGAATCGCGTGGTAATGGTCGCACTATTCAACGTATTGAAGTGGTATGGAAGTGCGTCTCCTTTCTGCTTTATTTTACTGCCATAAATGGTGGAATAATTCCTTATTGTTTATAAAAATTTACTTTTATTGACGGTTCTAGAC